AAATCGTCGGAGTAAAAATGCGTGTAGTGTATTTCAAGACGAAGTTGCTACAGATGTTTGGATTTGAGCCTGACCGTGTCGGACCAAGTTGAGATATTTACATGACAAAAGACCGGCGAATATAATCTGGCCCAGTGTTACCCAACAGGCGTACCGCCACTGGGTTTCAGGTGTGCCACGATTTTTTTAAGATCTCGTATATTCGCACGCAGAAAAAGGCAATATCTTATCTTTCGTAATACACACAGGTTCATTATCATTATCTATAGTTTTATTGAATGTTTGTTAACTCTTCGTTTTCGTGTTCGTGCATTCTTATAAGGAAAGTATTTTTTCTAGATACGTTTTTATGGCCTTTCATACCTCCATTTAGTGAGACGAGATTTTATGGTGTGCCGTCATGTGCCTTTGACAAACTAGGGTGTGACTTGGGTGAAAAGAAAAGTTTGTAGAAGACCGGTCTAGTTTGTAGCCTAGATGGGGAAACAGGAAATGAATACATACCTTTGATGTGGAAACATGTTGGGAATCGGCCATTTAGAATACCGCAAAACATAATAGAAAACGCCGAAATGGATCTTGGGAATTAAGATGGGACGCTTTGTAGCTCGGAAACTGTGATAGTGAGACAAATGCATTCATATTTTGATGATGAACTGCGTTAGGTTACCTGAGAAGCGGTGTGACACTGTTTTAAAGCAAACGTTTTGTTGTTGTTCCATGCGTAATTGATCACCAAGCCGTGATGGCGTATGGTGGAATGGAGGTAAAGCTATACGCTAACCTGAGCAGTAGATTGGTGTGTGGTCATCTTCACGTCCCGGAAAATTTACTTCCGGGTAAAGAGCCTTCCGTGTCCATCAGATAGAAGACTGGGTGGGTCACAGAGCCAGTGTGAATCATGCCCATAGGAAGGTACTTTTATCTCAAAACCGAAACCACTGGCTAGCTGAGGTACTGGAACGCCGTGGTAACTTGGCGATCTCGTCATCTGAAAACGTAAATGTTCTTCTTTTTTAGGGAAAGTGGACCCGACGCCCCACACATCTTCCTTCAACATGGGCTACCTGGTTTCGCCGTACCCATACCCCAACGGTACAGCTGGGCCCATCCCCGTCTCTATGGTGAGTGAAAAACAATGATATTGATATTGATAAGATGATGGCTCACGGTGGTAGATACCAGCGTTGCGGACGAACGTACTGCCTTCATTTCCAGGGCTGAGTTTGGCGCGTTCCTCCGAAACGTTGGTGTCCACCTACAACCCGGAAGATCAGTCGGCCGGTTCTTAGCTGATTTTCCGTCTCTCTCCTAACCCCTGACAGTCACAGACCTGTGAATATATATATATATTCTTTTTCACCACCACCGTGGTTCGGATCCCTCTTTAAGTCAACATTGCATTGCAATGTTTGTTGTATCTGTAAACTAAAACAGGTATGAGATTACACGTCTTCGACGGGGAAGACATTTTATGACAAGAATTTTCTCTGTTTGTAATTTTCCTTGGACGTTGTACTTAACACGTTGCCATGAGCTGTTAGCCTGTGGATGTCTTATTTTCAGAAATCTTACAGATACATTTGAAACTACGCCCATTTTGAACGTAGTTTCAGAATAATGCCTTTGATGGAGCGAAGTGTGTTCTCCCAACTGCATTTTAATACGTAATCGATTTATCGATTAGAAGGGTGTGTTTCTTGAAATGGCCCTACGAGTTACACGGGTGTGTCGTTGGGCCTCCTTTGTTCCGTGGTGATTTGTTGGTGTGCAATGTCGTGGTTTATGTGTGATTTTTTATTTCGTGGTTTATGAAAGTGGCGTTTGTTTGGACAGTTCTGCTTTGTAGCGGAACGAAGTGCTGAGAATTGTGTTTGGGCCAAACAGAAAGGAGATTCCAGGAGAATTAAGGGTAGATACTGAGAACCTTCATGATTCAATCTGTTATACTTCGTTAGAGTGATGATAAATAATTATATGCTCAGGTGAGAGATGAAATAGGTTGCAGGAATGTGAACTGAACTGTAACATTGTCGGATTTCAGTTGTAGCATTGTGCATCTTCAAATTCTAGAAGAGTTTGGTTTTTTTTTGTTCACTGAATAATTGCCATCGTGGAGTTAATTAGTTCGTCAATTAGTACGGAGAACCAATGGAATTAATTACTCATAGTTCGCCAGTCGGTGTTTAAGTTTAGAGGCAATTAAGTTGGTTAATTAGACAGTTCGCTAGTCAGTCGTTCATTGGTTCTTTCAATGACTGAGTTGGTGAAGAAACTATGGGGTAATTCTTGTCGAGTTTTTTTTAACCCCATTTGCGTGTTTCCACGTAGACTGTCTGAAAAACTTAAATTATTGAAAAGTTTTAAAATTAGTTCACGAAGTTATACATTTTATTACGTCTATACTGGAAAATTATAAATATATTCAGGGCAGGAAATGTAGATGAACTGATTTCTTTTTTAGCTTACGAATTAACGAGTGTATCAGTCGGTTGGTTCAGTTCTGAGCAGTGACCAGTATATCTTTTTTTTTTTTTTGAGAATGACTGAGTCTTTGCGTGCTTAATCATTGATTAGCCTGTCTTATGGCAAGGGGCGAAATACAGTCGAGTATAAACAAAAGCAATGAAGAGGTTTTTTTCATTTTCCTGTGGGGTCTGTCACGTCTTGGGGTTGTTTTGTTTCTCCTTCAGACGCTGTTGGTGGTGGAAGATTTGTTTATTATTCGGTTTTTGGAGGTCCTTTTCCATCTCTCATTACTAATGAACAAAGGTCTTTTCTAAATGCAACTTGAAGGAGATGAAATTGCCCTGATAGTAAATGCAAATGTGACTCAAGTTCGAACGGCTATCCTGTCAGCCAGTTTCTGCTTTTTATCAGTTATTCGTGAACGAGAGCCATTCTTAATTGCCGAGAATCCTATCCATGCCGCAAGACGATTTGCCTTACGATAAAAATCAATATTTTGTGAATTTATCATGTTTTTAGCTCAAGATATTAACATTAAAATATTAAGTTACTCCTGTACTTAAGTAAGCATCACACCATGATAACTTACAGGAGAATGGAAGTACTACTGCACGAATTGTTTAATGCCATCACTAGATGGAGATGATTGATCAGCTTCATGCTCCGGTTGCTTTACCATAGGGGAATGCCCCCCCCCCCCGATACCCAGTGTAAATACTGAAATAGAAATTAGGTGTGTAAAATAGCGAATAGCCAGCTATTCTACTGTCGTTCTTGAAACGTAAATTGGGCCTTGGGTCACTTGTGCACGCGATGTGCCCCTGCTAGGGTTAGTCTTGTATTTGGAGACTGCCTTCAACTCATAGTGACACAGATTGTTTGGGGAGGAAGTGCAGTATTTATTTCCACTGCCACAGAACGGTATTAATTTTCCACCCCTCTCATTCCAACTCCGCTCTCTCTCTCTCCATATATTTATTTTTTTTCTCGTGATTGTTTGAGGAAGTTTTCAGAATGAAAGGCCAGTGGGTTTAGTCTGCAGTTAAGTGTTAAGACAGCAAAATGAAACCTTATGCGGAACATGAAAAGCCCATAGCATTTCATACTAAGATCACTTGAATTAGAAATTTCCTTCGGTAATTTAATATTTTTACCGTAGCTCTCTCGTGGGCTTCATTCCTTTCTTTATGTAATGTCATTTTCCATTCGCCATTATTTTGTTTGAATATCATGGCTGCGTGGAACGGATAGCGAAGTTTCTGGATGTCGTGCTTACTTTGTACGAGAACCAAAAGCAGCTTAAATTTCGGGAGTAATATTAGCTTTCTTTACTCATTTGTGTGGAAAGATAGACTAATGGTATCATGTCCGTGTGTCTGCTTCCCTCTCGTTAATACCAATTGACGGAATTTCATTAAAATGTGTATTACTGTCATGTCACTGCAAGTTACTGCATCTTAGTACCGTACCGTCGTGGCTGTATCACGAATTTGTGATGTGACAGCTACATCAGCACCACGTGACGTATATCTATATGAGCTGGTAGATAATATAGAAATATGCGACTTTTTCACAATGCGCAACAGCTTGGCCAACTACTTGTTATCGATTTTACGGTGATGTTTAATGGAGTAGTGGGAGCTATGCGTGTTACATTTGGTACAGGCATTTTACACGGAAGTCGTTCGGTAAATACAGTGTAATTTTGAGTTTAAAGTCCTCACTTGCATCGTCGTCTTGATAGGAATGTCTGAAAGAAAGTGTGCATCTGAAGTTATTTCTAGAAAATATATTTTTTTGCCAGAGCCGGGCACATAGTGGAGAAAACTGGGCTGTTGGTCCCTCTCGACCCAGATAAAAAGGGGAACAATCATTTAATAAATGCAGGTTAGACGTCTTTTTCGTGTTATAAACTAGAGACAGGAGCATTTAGACAGAATTCGACAAGTCGGTATTATTAAACGCGTGTTTACACATACTCCTCCATAGGAAAAGGAGATATTACAAAATCAAGGAGCAGATGGGAGACATCAGTTTCTACTTCTGAATATCAGAAACGGCGTTAAAATATCCAGTCTTAGGAGAAGAATGGGAAATTTTGTAAAATTTTTGATTTGAGGTGCGCCCACACACACAGACAGACAGACAGTGGTAAGTGGATATACCGCAGCTGTGATCATGTCCCCCAATATGATTACATATATTTGACATATTTCACATATAACGCGGTATATATATATATATATATATAAAAAGCAGGAATAGGCATTTGGTTCCACGAACATAGTAGGAAGACTCGAAAATGAGTGTCAAATGAAATGAGGTATTCACAGGTCACACGTCACGTGTCTCTCTCTTTTTTTTACTTCATAAATCTGATGATTTCGATTGGTGCTAAAAACAGATGGTGGTGTTAGGATTTTTTAGTTAGTCGTTTTGGGAAATCTGATAAAATCTATTTGAGGTTTTAAACAAATGATGTAGTTACACAAGCTTGCATTTCACATATCGGATTTTTATACGGCGAAACATTTTTTAAGATATCAGATAAATTCGACAAGCGTGTGCGTGAAGGAGGTATCATGGTAGACCAGCGCAGTCCACAGTTATTTACGCTGAACTACTTCCAGTGATAAAACCCGTACCAAGTGACATCCTGCTCCATGCATGAGAAGATCCACTCAGTTGATGTGACACGCGGCGGACAGATAGATGACTCGTTGAATCTGTATGCATTTCTGTAGTCATATTGATTTATCCGCTGTTGCAAAAGTGAGAAGTTATAATTTATTACTTGGTATCAGTTGTCTGTGACATGCACTGATTAATCTCTGGCACAAAAACTTTGCAGCTAAGGAATTTGACCATCGAAGGTCAGCGCGAACTCAGTCTGTGCCCTCAAAGGGAGACCGACTCTCCGAACAGAGTCCAAAGGTTCCTTACTGTGGCTGTTACGTCTACGGAGTAAAAAATTGAGAGTACAGTTCACATTCTGAAACCTCGTTTTCCGAGATGAGTTCACAGTTATCCTCCTACCCGAGTCCCTTGTCTTCAGACCAGCTTCAGCGTGTTTTCCGAGCTGGCTTTGTTGTTAGGTTATTTAGTGACATCATATCAACTGTGTAACTTAGTTCACTAAGATAAAGGGCGGATTGTGAGAATTTGCCTTAGAGAAATGAATAGAATCGAATAGGCATGACGAAAATGCAGAAAAGAAAATTGAGGAGGAAAACGTCGAGGCGGTAGAGAAGACGGGATAAGTGGAATGTATAAATTATGAAAATGTCGAGGAAGATGGAAGGAGTAGAAAGGCAATTATAGAGAACGGGAGTCTTGACGTTCAGAGGGAAGAATAATAAATTTTAGAGTAAGGAAAAAATAATGAAGGAGGATGAGGAAAAGGAAATAAGATTAAAATAGGAATAGAAATACACTTTGAGTTATAGTATGAGGGTCATAAGAAGGATAGGAGTTCATGATGTGGAGGATAGGAATGAAAGAGAAGACGAAAAAGGAGTGGAACGAGGATAATAATCAGGAGTTTGTGCCAGAGCAAATGTGGTCTTGAGACTAAACCAAACCGTGCTCAATTGATTAGATATCGTGTCACTTCAAGTACGGTCGATATCTGAAATAGCGAGAGATTCCTGTTTTA